TTCGTCTACTAGGTTTTTAATTTTTTTTTTGTTTTTTTTTTTTTTTACTATTTAATAATATAATTTATCAATTTTTAATATTCTTTTTACATATTTATTAATATAAATTATCGTTTAAATATTTATGAAAATTAATTTTATTTTTCTTAAATTTTTTTTTTGAACAATTTATTAAAATGAAATTAATTATTTTAGATTAATAAAGAACAAATAAATATGTTAATTGAAATGATTCGACTTTCACGTAAAGTGAATTGTTGTTGTGGCGTAACACGTAATCGACAACAATTAAAGCTAACACCACTTCATCGAATGTATTTTCCAGATGCACCTTTCTTTCCAAATTTAAAAAAATTATCAATTATATCAAAGGTAAATAATATAAGCATTTTTTCATTTTTATAATTACTCAAATTTAAGAAATTTAATGATAATTCATTGAAGAAAGATAATTTTAAGTGGAAATTTTTTTGAAATTAATATTAAAAAAAAAAATTTTAGAAACTATTGATTAATTGTGGTTAATTAATGAGCGTTTAAGCGTTTAATTAAGGCTTGAAATTATCCTGAACATTTCATTGTTTTTAATTTTCAATAAATTAAGTTATTCATTTATTTATGTAAATTAAAATTTTAGGCAAATCAATTGCAACATCTTTCACGATTACTTGGTTATGCAGTATCTGTTGATTTGCTCTATCATGTGGAACAAATGGATTTATTATGTTTGAAAATTTTAGTTGGTAATGTTTGGGCACGACCGACTAAATTTCGCCTATTTAGGCATTTAACAAGGTAAATTTTATTTTTTAAAAAAAAAATTTCTAAAATTTAGCTTAACATTTTCAAAATTTTTTGTATAAAAAAAAAAAACAAAAAAAAAAACAAAAATCTAATTTCAGATTTCGACAATGGACAGAAGCAAATATGCTTGGTGAACGTTATTTTCAACAATTTGGTACAACACATAAACGCTTCCGAAGCTTATCATATTGTTTTTAAAAAATAGCTAATAAAATTTGGTCAGTTTTGGTCAGTATCTGTATGGTCAATATTATGATCAAATAGAATATGAACAATTCGTATGTGTTCATCATCTTTTCGAGTATTTATTATGGGGTTTTCTTTTTGTTTTTTTTTTTAAATTTTTGTTAAAAATTTTATACTGGTTTAATTTTAATTAAAATTTTAGACTTCTACAATGTTGTTTCGATTTTATATTTTAACATTTTCTTTCGTTTGCTTCAATTAATTATGAAATTGAAATTTATGCTTTAATTACAAATCTTAAATCTATTTAATTTGCTCAAATTATAAAATTTCACTCCCTTGATTCTCTTATATTATACTATTTGAAAAGATCTAACTATCACATGCTGGAATATTTTCAAAGAACTCATTACCAATTACCCAATTTTTTTTTTCTTAAATTTCAGGGCTTTTTTTATTTGTAGCAAATAATTATTCTCAAATTACGGTATAATAATTATTCTCAAATTACGGTATTACGGTATAGTATTAAAAATGTCCAATCTTTCTTTCATTTATGTGGAATGATTTTAATGGAAATTAGTTAGTTTATTCCTACATGTAAATTATATTGGTATTATTCCTCCTTTTCCTCCTCTTCGTCTTTTTTTTTTTTTGCTATCCTTATCTAAAGCTATTTGAATTTAAATTAAAAAAACCTTAAATCAAATTATAACTGATATTATTTTATACAAAACTATCAGTATGCAATGAATATAAGTGAGCTTAACGTAATAATTATATGATACTTGCTTCAATCTAATTAATTTATGCTATCAGTGCTCAATAATCCATCAACTATTTGTATCGTTATTTTGTTTGTTTATTATTTTGCTTATTAAGTTGGTAGTAAAATACAAAATAATATTTAGTTTAGGATGAGATTGCATTCATTTGAATCTCATTTATTATACTTATGAAAAATAAAAACTTCCAATAGAAAGCTTGTAAATTTTTGAAAGAATATACCTTCATATGGTAATTTAAGGAAGGAAATATTCCATTACTTCCATTATGATTGACATTTATTTGTGGAAATTTAGGAAAAATGGTTGTCAGCTTGTTAAAAAAATATTTTTCCATACTAAATGGAATATACCATTTTCATTACGTTTTCCTTTTTTGATGGAAAGATTGAGGGCTATTTAAGCATTAAAAAAAATTATCGGAAAATGCTATTAATTAATTATCTAACACTGTACCTGTGAATGACCTTCTCCTTTTTGATGAGTGATTGAATGAATTTGTGAAGCAATTCTTATTTTTCGATGCCCCGAAAAATGTATCACAAAGAAATTATTGAAAATATAAAATGGTTGTTGCAACAATTGAAATATTAGCATTAAATATGCTATATAATAATTCACTAAGAAATAATTGAGTAATGTTGGAAGTGATATATCATAGTGACACATCGGATTTTTGCACCAAAGAAAGGACAAATAGTGACTTCATTAATGTAATTAAAAATAAACTGTAGATATAACGGAAGCATAAACAACTCCGAACTATTCAGACATACATTTTTGAATTACTTCAAGTCAGATAATTGACAAAAACTAAGGAGCTATTGAGTGGATCATAATAATCAGAATGATAGGATTCTTTGTTTTGAATGATCGTGAAAAGAACTTTTCAAAATTTTGACTTAAAGCCAATAGAAGGATGCGATTGGTTGTTGCGTCGATTAAAATACAATTATATATAAAACGATAAGAAAACTAACAAAAACTGAAAAATATATGAACATAGTGCAAATATTTTTTATACCATCGATTAACAGCGAAAAACATTGGGAAGAACGAATGCTGAAGCAATTTAAAATTTGAAAGTAATTAAAAACCGGCATCATATGCAAATACATTTTGATTCGCCGACAAACAATCACCGATAAAATTTCATGGGTTTTATTTCATTTTCCCTTTCAACTGCGTGAAAAGAAAAAAAAAAAGACTCTGAACATTAAGGATCAATAAATCATTAATTTCAGTATGTCATCAGATGGGAGATGACGAGTGGATCGATTCACTGGTTAAGCGATAGATGCCGAGAAAAATACATTAACAAAATATTCTGGTGAAGCTTCGCAAAAATAACAATCGAAAAATACATCAAATTTGCACAAATTTGAAAAATGAAGAGTACTCCATCAAAACAATCTTTGCTGCAGGATTGGGAACAGTCAGCAAAGCGTCCAAAACAATGATGAGTGAAAAGTTTAAAACTTCTTTAAAAATATGTAACATAAGAGGATTTTTCTTTTTTATAATCTACATTAATTATTTAATTTTTTCGACTATATTTAGGCGAATATTTTCGAACTTTGCATGACATGCTCTTTCATCCAGTGTATCGGTTGTTAGCTGAAAGTGATCCTGAGAAGAAATTTCTGTATGAATTTATATTTTCTTTGAGAGTTTCGCCAACAAAAGTTTAAAGTAGTGAATTGAATTGCAGTATAGACAACAGAAAAATTTAAAAAAAGGAAAAAGAAAGAAAAAACTAACAATAATAATAAAATAAATGGAAATACGGTCAACATGACAGCTTCTCAATTTAATACTAAAATGATCATATATTTTTAATTCTCATCATCATAAGTGCTAACTTTAATTAAAACGTTAGCAAAACATAATTTCGATAATCGATAATCACAGGAATACATAACAATAAATATTCTGGAAATATGGAAAATAATATTAACGTTTACGGCCTAATTTAATTTTGATCAAGTAATTTATAAATCAGTGTAATTCATTTGAAATGTAAAGATTTGCGGTAAAACAACATTAAAAAGTGCATATTCTTTTAATTTCATACCCTAAACATGAAATTTTAGAAGCTTCAACAATGCTCATTTAAAAGTAAAAAGCAAACCTGATTCCATCGAACTATTAAGAATCATAAGAACGGAGAGAGTTATATTTCGCTCCGTTCCATATATACAGAAGGGCTAACTAGAGTTCAAGGAGATCAAAAGCCAGTAACAAAAAATTTTATTGTGAAAAAGTGATGTCTAATTACTTTGTTCGTCTTCTAGAATCCTTTTGCAGCATGTTACATTATTTCTCCTGGAGTCCTTTTGCAAACGTTACATTATTTCTCCTGGAGTCCTTTTGCAAAACGTTAAATTATTTCAGTCCGCATATTGGACTGATTACTAAAACCCAGCTGATGTAGCCGTTTTCAAATAGCGTTTCTGAGAAAAGGGTATTCTACTGAAAACCAAAGTTGAACCAGTAAAAGAAAATGATCGAAAATCTTCACAAGCAAAAACAAAAACCTGCAGTAAGAAACACCATATGAATATCGTGGAATGTCTATGAAGACAGTTAAACTAACTAAGCCTTAGTAAACAGTCCAAATCTTACAAAATAGTTTACTCAATATCACTTTTTAATAAAATTTGTAGAAATATATAGAGAAAGTCTATTCAATATTTTAAAAACATACGGTTGATTCACGATTCGAAGAAAGATAATTGCCTTCTACAGTCCTTTTGCAGCACGTTACATTATTTCTCTTGCAGTTCTCCGGGGGACAAGCTAATGCACAACTGGTGCCATTTCTTCCCAGAGCGCTTGCCATCTAAACACCAATATGTACAGATACCATGGACCTCGGATTCGCAAAACGTTTTTCTTTCCTTGATTTGGATCAAGAATCTAGTCTTCACAGTATAAAAGAGTAAGACTTTGGAGAGAACTGCATATGAATACAAAAGCATCATAGTATTCTAATTTCCAGTTTTTGCTGCAAAATACAGAAAAAAGATGCCCGATGGGCCTTGCTGTTTCGAAAAAATTCACTTATTCAAGAAAAGATAGAAGCATACCTCTGAGAATTCGGGTTGTATAGTAGTACTATGAATGCAATTATTATGAAATAATGTACGAATCTCATCAGCAGCTGCCAGATATGCTTTAAGATCAGCAAATTTAATGTGCACTGTAGCGATAATTCGTTCACCCACTAACCGCCAAACGTGAAATTCATGCACCGCTTCTACTCCTTTGATCTAAAGTCTTGAACTAATTTTTTTGAGGAAAACATAGTACGCCTATCGAATTATGCAACCTAAAGACACAATTGATGAAGCCAATGCAAGACTATAAGAGGTATGCAACTGTGCACTCATGAATGACAGAAAAGTTCGGGCTGGATGTTTTCACGGCCAAAGAAATTAGTAATTGTGAAAGCATAAAAGCAATCAATGTTTCATTCGAATTAGATCACATTTGTGGCAGTTAAATTACTCGCAAGACTAACTTTGAGCAATTCTTTTTTGATTTCTTCGACTTCAATGAAACCAGGAGTGGTCTGCATCAGAATTAGAGCCGTTTCACGCACTAGCGGAAATGTTGATGCAATCATCAATGCAACCATAGCCAAACTAAAAAAATAAAAATAAACACATCAGTAAATCTTCTAGAAATATACCAGCTGCTGCCAAGCGAGCCGAAAGTCTATCGTATTAAAACTCCAACATTTCAGTATGTCCATATGTGAAACATTGTACGAACCTACCCTTGTTAGAAGGCGAAATAACGTCGTATACAAGCAATTTACGATGCTAGACTTTGCGAATTGTATGGTCAAAATGGAGGAAACGACAAAAAAACCTCAAAACAGGATCTAAGTATAGTTTGAGAGCTTCCTGACCAGGAACAAGCCAACATACAAGAGCCGTAACGATGACGATAACTGAACCAACTGCATCGCTCAATACATGAAGAAAGACGCCCTGCATATTCAGCTGCTTCGATAACTCTATAAACATAACGTCTGAATATCAACAAGATTAAAGTTATTATAAAAAAATAATGCTACAATTCCTAGCATTTTTAACGATGTTAGAAAATGTTGTACTGTCTATAAGGAGCTAACCAGAAAATCTTTTTCATTATAACAATTGTTCCACAAAATATCACTTACTTTTTCTCTTTTTTCCTTACTTTTGTCGGTTTTCATGTGAGTCTGTGCCATAAGACTAGAACCATTTGGATGAACTTCTTGAAGATTCGCAATAGCCATTGCTGCCTCCTGCAAATGACCACTTTTGTTTCGTATTTTCATTAATTTACAATGTTTCTAAAATATGTTTTGTTATTTGCACTATCTTAAAGAGGACATATAGTTATTCCTCTACATTGCTTAAATATAAATGCCACATTTTCACGTGTCGTAAAAACAGATCATTTTATTTCAGCTGAAGTTGACTGGGATTATTGAGGAATCGAAGCATACTCGACATTTCTATCGTTCCAGGACCACTCAGTCGTTAATTAGGGATTCGTGGATGACCTTATTTTATGGTTACACTGAATATCAAAGGGGTCATAGCGAGCTTCTCTCTGCTCGGATTGTCTGAATGGGTACTTGAATCCCTACTGGCATAAGTGCTCTGTATTTGCGTTCCTAACTAAGTACAACATTAGAAAACCATTTTGCAATTTCTACTTAGTTTAACCGAACGCTCTTCCCTTCGACACACAAAAGTATAATAAATACATACGTCCTCTTAGAGTAACTCATCACTAAAAACATGAAGTTTTGAAGCTTACATGAATTTTCAGAATAATTTTATTCTGGACAATGCAACCGAGAAGAAGAATGACAATTAAATACTTGGTTGCTCAAGTACTCAATCAATAATTTCAATTTGGGAAAGAGTGTAACCTGGTGAGAAGACATTAAATGTTGACTTTCATTACCATCAATGGTGACATGAGTTTGTCGCCGACCTAGTTGGGGCTGTGCCTGAGAATCTTTGCCGCTCTCGCCATGCTCGTGAGCATGACCTGCGAAGGAAACCTTTCATTAAAGAATATGGCCTGGCAATTTAAAGACAAGGAATTTGCAGTGCTTAAAGAAAAATTAATCTTGACACCACCGGATAGCACGAAAAATAATACTAAAATACTTGTCGAAATCAATTTAAGCCTTACTGTGAAACATAAACATCCCGATTAAATTGATGAATAATCCGATAACACCAACAACAAGTACGCTAATCGGTTGCTTGATTGTTTGTGGCTCGATAAGTCGAGTAAGTGATTCAATCAATATTGAGAAGCATAAGGCAAGTAGAAATACGCCATTAATCAGAGCACCAAGTACTTCAGCGCGCACCCAACCAAATGTATTTTTCTTGGATGAATGGGCTGCAATCTATAAAAGAGCAAATTAAGCAGGACATATTACTCGAAAACAATAAGTGTTTTAAATAAACTTAAAAGCATTACCATAATGGATTCAAAAACCTTTTTTGATATAAGACCGTTACCTTCCAAACAGCGAAAATAGTAAGAGAAATATGCAAAGTTAAGATGGAAAGTTACTCTTAAGCATGCGAATGCAATAGCGAGTGCCATAACATCACTCAGCATGTGAAACGAATCTGCGACAAGTGCCATTGAATGCGATAAATATCCAAATACCAGTTCAACAGCAAAAAATGCAAATGTCATTGTTAGCATAATAATAAGTCGAGTAGTACGGGACAATCGCCGCCAACTGTGATGATCAGCAGATGAAATGTCGACTGTTCTTTCTGTATCCACGCTACAAGTACTTTCTTCTCGCATCAATTTTTGCGTCATTATTCCTAAAAAGCACTGGTATAAATTTACAAGAAAATATCGATGAATTTATCTCAAGCAGAATATTTTCATTCAATTTAATGACTAACATCATTCAATCATCATGACAGCTAACAGTTCAGTTAGCGAGTAGATTAAAATAAATGATGGAACAATAGGCAGATGAACTTTCATCGAATAATATACGATAATGTTTGATATAGAATACGCTAAAATTACAGCTTTATCATGATTTATTTTAACTACGTGCATGCTAAATTTTGCATAACCTTAAAAGAGAACAGCTAACAAAAAATCTAACTCCCTCTACCGTTTTTGAACTACTTCTAAAATGCTTCTTTTCAAGAATAACACATTTCGTCCTACATGTGACATTAATGAGAATTTTTGATCACAAACTTACCATTACCGCTACACTTCCTAGCAGGCACCAAATATGTACCGTTTCGGCGTCCTGATCCGTCAGTATTTTCATTTTCTTCACCAAATGGCAAGGACATCTCTTTAAACAACAATAATTGTCAAATTTATATTGCATTTAAATCGTTAATCATGCTATCCAACTTAATGAAATTTCAGAACTAAATTTCGTCCATTTTTGTTTGCATTTTCAATTTTCACAAATAAAATTGAAAATAGCCATTATACGAATGTGTAATATCGGCTGTACGAGATATTCCGTGTTTTGATAGGTTGATGGAATATTGAAGACGTTAAGCATAGTTTGTTGGGTAGAGAATGGATGAAGAAAGAAATGATAAATCTTTACACTCAATAACCTGTTCAATCAATATAAGCATCTATCTAATTTAGCATATTATCATGTCTATTAGATAATAATCATTAATAAAAGCTCATTTCTATTCATTTTAGTACGACTTTCGATTAAACCAAGCAATAAGACAGACAATGCAAGAAAGACAATCCATTATGCAATTAATAACTGAATTATATTAATTACTTTGAATAATAAGAGCTAATTCGATACTGTTATCAAAAATAATTTTCCTCATTTATAAAATAAAATGTCACGTTTTAGTTTAAAATAATAAACATTAAAAAAAGAGCACATATCTATGATAGCACCAAACTATGCATATGTGTACATGTATGTATGCGTGCATGTGTTATTCATAATTTGACCTCTGGTCAAGCTTAAAAACACGAAATCTCGAATGATCTAATGAAGAATATAAGCGTACGTGAACGGGATCTACTTTTTTTAACGAAGTCCTCTAATGAAACATATTTCATCCAATCCATACCATTTTAAACAAATTTCAACATGATAATCAATTTTTGCTGTACTACTGGCATTAAAATTTTTAAAATGACATAGGACAAAAGAAAGAGAAGTATTACTTTCATTTTTCTTTTTCTTCATCTTTATGACAAAA